ATCAGGCTAATAACTCAGTATTTTTAAACCACGACCTGACAAAAATGAACTTAGACCTACTCAAAAAGACCCAGATATTCAAGAAAGAGAACAACTATAAGTATGCATGGTTTGGCAATGGCAATATACTACTCCGAAAAGAAGAAAATAGCAAGGTTATCATGATCGAGAGAGAGGAGGACTTGGCAAATTTAGGAATGAGAAGCTAAATGTGAATTATCTAAACATCCAAAGCTTGAGAAACAAATATGAAGAGGTACAATGCTTTGTTATTAATAATCCATGTGATATTTTAGTTCTAGTTGAAACGTGGCTGTGTGATTCTGAAACTTGTTGGTATGACATAGATGGTTTTAGTGCTGTACACGCTTGTCGGCAAAAAAGGAGGGGGGGTGGAGTAGCAATATATGTCAAAGAAGGTATTCCATTCAAAGAACTGAGTAAGTCATGTATTGATGATATTTGTAATTACTTAACTATTGCCGTTGGTGCTAATAAACTTAGTTTAACTGTGGTTTATAGACCACCTTCCTATGATATTGGCAAATTTTTGGATAGCTTTGAAAATATATTAGTGAAACACCCAAAAAATTATATAGCAATAGGGGATATCAACATTAGAATGTACAAAGATATGTTATCACTTCATAATTATCACATAAAAAATAATATTGGAATTGAACATGCAACTCGTGTAACCCTAAATACAGCCAGCATAATCGATCATCTGGTAACTTGCCACCTAGGGTTGCCAGACCTCCTATTTTTAATATGAGACTCATATATTTGAACTGTTTCTCATATCTCATATTAGCATGTTTAATATGAGACTATTTCTCATATATTTTCATCAAAAAAAAAAATGAAACCATGTATTTCATTTTATCACTACCATACACGTGATAGGCCGGAGCGTTCATTAGTCTCATGCGTTCGTTATCCGACCGTCCGATTGTACGAGGGAGCTCCTATTGGCTGTTTTTCCCGCCACATTTTATCCGAATATTTTCAACTTTTCTCCTACTTCGGACAAAGTTGAAATGAAATAATTTTAACTTCTTCCGTTTTTGGATCGTCGTTTTTCCCCTCACTTTTTGACTCACTGATGGTGAACAGTAAAATGTTATCAAAACAATAAACCAATTCCTAATTTGCGTTTTAAGCTTAAACTGGTTGATAATGGATCTTCAAATTCAAATATTTTACTTTTAAAAACAAAACGATTTTGAGTGAGACTGACGGATCGGATCAGGAGTCTTTAACTACCTAAAAGAATGTCCAGCAATACAATCCAAGATCTGGTAGAAGTCATAGCTAATTGTCAAGATGGGAGCTTTCTCGGATATGGGTATTTTGCAATAGATAAAATATTCTCATATATTATTATCCAATCTCATATAATTTTATACAGGCTCTCCTATTTTCAAAACTCAAAGATCTGGCAACCCTATTGCCACCAGACACAAAATACTTGTTCAATCTCAGTGCAAAATAACTCAATTTCTGATCACAAACGGTTACATATTACAATTAAACAACCTATAAAGAAACACAGAAAGAAATGTTCATACGAAAGCAAACATGTAGACCATAATAGGTTTAAGATATTACTTGAACAACAAATAAGAGGGCACAATGTTGCTTCCTTCCAACAGCTTATAGATATTATTCAGCAATGTAAAGATGGTTGTACTTATAGTAGAATTGTTAAGTTACATGAAAATAATATGTGGATTAGTGATGAGGATGAGGTGATAACAATGATAAGGGAACGAAATAGATTATATGATAAATTAGTAGCAAACAGGGATGATATTAATATTAAAAATCAGTTTAAATATGCAAAAAATAGAGTCACAAATAAAATAAAATCATTAAAAAATAAATATTTCAGGGATAAATGGGATCAAACAGGGGGTGATATCAAAAAACAATGGAGATTCATAAACAGCTTTATTAAAAATAAAAAGTCTGAAAATAAGTTACAATCTCTGAATGTAAATGGTATAATCATAAAAGATGAGTTGAGTATTGCTAATTGTATAAACGAATATTTCAGTAACGTAGGTGAAAATATTGTAGATGAGATAAACAAAATGAATAATCAAAACGTTAACAATGACATTATATATGTTCAGGGATATTATTTGTGATGCGAACTTGATATTAGATTTGACAAACGAGATAGAAGTAAATAAAATTATTTTATTTACGACTAATGTATAATGTGCGTATTATATTTGTGATTTTGGCAGTATAATGACATATGTTATTCCTCCAGGGATTAATGACGAGTAGCGGGATTAATGGTCATTATTCCACAAAAGTGTCAGTGTCAAACGTGTAGTGCTTGTGGATTTGTATTGAAAATTATGAGACGGATGAAATTTGTTCATTGAAAATCTCAAAAAAATTAATTTGTCGTAAATAAAGTAGAGTATACTACTCGCAATAATGGCTATTATTCCCTCAGAATGTTACTCCCTCGCCGCTAACGCGGCTCAGTTCGTAATAATCCTCGGGAATAATAGCTATCATTATTGACTCGTGGTATAATCTACTATTAGACCTAAAAAAGAACTCCGCACCTGGCCATGATCAAATATCTGTATGTGATTTATTTAATCTTAAAAGCATACTTACTCCAGTATTAGTTGAATTGATAAATAATGTTTTAGAGACGGGTGTATTTCCGGATGAGCTTAAAATATGCAAAATTACCCCTATATTTAAAGCAGGTTCAAAGGAAAATATGAATAATTATCGCCCAATTTCAGTAATTTCATCTCTCTCAAAAGTGATTGAAACTATAGTGAAACACAGAATACTTTCATTTGTAAACGAACATAATCTGCTTGATCACTATCAATATGGATTCATAAAAAATAGCAACACTTCATGTGCTGTGTTTGATCTGGTAAATAAAATAGCCAGAGGTGTGGACGGAAAAAAGGTGCTGGTAGCAATTTTTATTGATTTAAAAAAAGCGTTCGATGTAGTAAGTATTGATATTTTGTTGGGAAAGCTACAACAATTGGGATTTAGGGGTGCAGTGTATAGGTTGATAAGCTCTTACCTAACTGACAGACATCAGTACGTGAAGTTGGGGCACAGTCAAAGTGATAGACAGTCAAGTAGATTTGGAGTTCCACAGGGCTCTGTCCTGGGACCACTTTTTTATGTACTGTATGTTCTTAGTTTACAATTGGCAGATTTGAGAGGGCGATACTACACGTTTGCAGACGATACTGTACTTGTTTATGAGGAAGAAGATGGAGTAGACCTAGAAACTTTAATAAATGATGATCTTGGTGTTTATTTTAATTGGCTAACATTCAATAAATTGAAAATAAATGTGGATAAGACCAAGTTTATTATCTTTAAACAAAAAAATAGGGATATTCCATCACTAAATATTAAAATTGATAATATAAACATAGAAAGGGTAAAATCAATTAAATATCTGGGATACATAGTGGATGACGGTTTGAATTCTAAGGAACATCTTGAACACATATCGCATAAAGTTACTCCTATGATAGGTGCTATTTATCGTTGTAGAAATTATCTTCCACATAAGAGTAAAATGAATGTATATAACGCATTCTTTTTGTCTCATTTCAGATACATGATCCCAATATGGGGCACTTGTGGTACTGTTGGGTTAAGATCTATGCAAACATTACAAAATAAAATATTGAAGATTCTTTTTTCATTTAAGTGGTTGACTCCCACCGATTACCTTTACAGTGAGTTGGGTGTCTGTCAGTTGAGTAAGCTACTGGAGTTAGAGCAAAGTAAGCATATTTATAAAATCATTAATAAGACAATTAAATGTAATACTAGCTTGTCTTTCAATAGGGATCTTCATTTGTATAATACTAGGGTGCAGGATAACATATATCAAGAGGTTAGGAGTAATCTTGGTCTGAATAACCCATTAAGTAGAGCTATAAGTCAATATAACCGTTTGCCGTTGGCTATTAGGAATATCACAAATTGTAATTCATTTTTAAGTAAGCTTGAGCAATACCTACAAATATATCCATAAACTACTTTGTACTAAAACTACTCTGTACTTAAATATTCATAACTAGCTGGTGAGCAAGCACAAAATTTGTTAATGATTTCGATACCAGTGTTTAACACACTGCTTAGGAATGTTATTGTTATTGTAACTTATATATATTTTATGAAATAAAAGTTTTCAAAAAAAAAAAGATAAATATAGGTATATGAAACTTTCATTACAATGAACTGAGGTATTTATCTATGTTTCTTTTTTTCAATCAAGTATGTATATTTAATTGCAACTGTCATCACAAGAGAACATTTTCGAATGTAATACCACAAGAGGTTTCAGGATTACCGGATAATACTTTTACCTGTCACGAAACGCGTTACGCAGCAACACCACGACTCCGAAGGAGGAGTGGTGTTGCTGGTAACGCGTTGAGTGTCAGGTAAAAGTATTAGGTAATCCTGAAACATCGAGTGGTATTCAAAAGGTTATAGAACGAACTAAACTTTAATACTTTATTAATTTTTATTATTATTGATAGCAAATGAACAATATTGCCACCAAGCGCGATAATCCCAAAAGGCTTATCACTTGTTAAGCCTCTCGTGTCATATGGGAATAATGTACAGTCAGTTGTATAATCACTAGAACCTAGGAATTAGTAAATATTCCTGATAAATATACCTACTATACACAAAAATCCCGAAATAAATGAGACCATCAAACCCATTTTAAAACTTTACAAAGCTCGGTGCTAGGCACCATTCAAGTTGTCACCGAAATTTTAATCGACCCTTTATACCTACTAGTAAGTTTAGGACAAAATTAGGATCCAAATTACTTTGTGCTTGTTTCTAAATTGCATCTCAACTCTTCGTCGACACGAACAAAAGTTTCAATTTTATTTTACTTAAAATCGAGATTTATTATAAGGTATAATGTTCCTCAAAAAAGAATGAAATTGAAACCACATGAATTTTTGACGTAAGCTTGTTATTTTTTATTTGTAATTAAAATTAACAAAAAGTTCACGAGATCGTTTTTTTAATACTTCAATGAATGATTCGCTGGATCTAAAACTCAACGTTGAACTAACGATTTCCATGTCATAGTCATATTCAGATTTGCATGTCGTTTCTTCATCATCGCCATCGCCACAACTTCTTGAAACATTTGTCGTGTTGGAGTTATGACATATTGCCATTATCAAATCGTTCGATAGAGAGCTTCTCAAACCATCTCCGTATTGTTCTAATAAAGGTTGGAAATTTGTAGAGGCAAAATTATCTAGTCGATAGCTCGAATTCAGTTGCGATACGAAGTTTCTTTTCAAAGTCTTGATGCTGTTTTGAATAGCATTTTTATACATCTTTTGGGTGTTCAGACTTTCTTCGCTAACAGCTTGTTCAAGATCTTTAGCCAGCGTTCGGATACAGGTAATAAGTTTATGTTTTTTATTTTGCATCCATTCTCTATCTCTTCTGACGTATTCGCTTGGGGATACAGAAAGCAAATACTGCAACTAAAACAATTAATTGATTACAGAAAACTTATGCTTATTAGAGATTGGAAATACAATGTAAATTTAAAACTATTCTTTGGAGCTCTAGGTAATATGAGGAGAAATTAAACAAAAAATAATAAAAAAAGTGTCAAAAGTAGACAAAATAATAGCAGAAGAAGGAGCGATCATGGAAAGTCGGCTACAACACTCTATATAAGGATAAATCTCTTTGAAGGAATTTGCAATTACCAGAATAGATAAAGTTACAACTAAAGAAAAAGTAAAAATCACAATAAATAAGATGAAAAGAGGAAAAGAACTAAGTCATTGCAGTTACCTATGTGGGACTTCTTATTCAATTCAATTAACTAGCTATACCTACTAAAAAAGGAAAGAACATTAGAACTATTAGAAGAAAGTCAAATCATGCAATATTATTCTACATATATCAGAAAATGAAAATAGTAAGTTTGTATGTATATTCAATTTATAGTTTCTTACCCTATCAACTTTATCAAATTTTACATGAGATATGCTCTTAGCTCGACTCAATCCGTGATGTATATCTGATCTGTGATGTATCTGGGGTACGGGTTTGAATAAAGTCGTGTAACATCGAACACTTGAACAGGTTTCTATCGGCTTCTTTTGGCGTTCTGAACTCTTTTCGACAGTCACTGGACTTGGACGATCGCTGGTGCAGGTTGAGATGCTCTTTTTTTTTACCGAGGTTTTTTTCACGATAGGATTAGGATAATCTATAAAAGAAATCAAGGCGTTTAAAAAAATATTTCATTAGATTTTATTCCGCTATTTGTGCAGGCTAAGAAATGATGCAATCTGCGAACCGAATTATGTTCGTCTTTCCTCAATAAAATGGAAGTTCTGAAGAGGTTACGTGAGCAATATCAAAAGATTGCCATACAATAAACCGACCACTGTTGCTATTTTGCGACTTGTTGCAATTCCATGTCGTACACTACAATAATAGTCAAAATATAGCGGTTTCGGTTTTCAGATGGCAATGGACCGTTAAAATCTACACGTATTGTTTCAAAATGGGAAATAGCTCTTATGATGGTCCCTTGATTTCATTGGGATCTTGTTTTGACTTCACTACAAACGGGACATCAGGTGGAAAGATTCTCTTGATGTCTAATGAGAGAAAACAGAGATTGTGCATTTTATTAGAGAAAGAGCGACAGAATCATTGCTAGTTCTCGTACAAAAGAGTGAAGAAAGCATAACGCAAAAATTTAGCTTGCCCAAATGAGGCAATCGCGAACCAAACAAATACCACTTATTTCTGCAAATGTTGTCATCTAGCCTAATAATAATATAATTTAGAAAGTTTTGTACCTTTAAAAGACTGCTTGACTTCCATCATAGAGTCAACTCTCGCACTGGTTCTCCATTCCAAAGTGGTAATTTCATAAATCAAAAGGCATTGAATTGCACCAAACATGATAGCTAGGAAAATGTCTATGGAAAACGCCGGACGGGAGAATAATTGACCGTATATGACAGTCGACGATAATTTAAACATATTATTTGCAGTAATTTTGTTCATTTTGCTCACATTGATTTCGATTTTGATGCCATTTGACAGTTTTGAAATGAGTCAAATTTAATGTACCTTCAACCAGTAATTTGAAGTCAAGAGGACATACCTTTCCGATTAGTGTACGTTCACATAGACCGGTGGCCCAGTGTCAAACCACCCCCCTCATCGGGCACAAAATTTTCATTATAGGTGCTCGAAACACTTTATTATTCGTAAACAAAAACCTCCCGTCTGCCATCGATGGATGGTAGCCCGCTCCCATGACCGCCCCCCAAATAAGGGAATTTTGATCAAAAACCCCCCTTACGAGTACACAAATGAAATTTTTTGGGCATGAATTATATTAGAAACCTAAAAACACGCGGCAAACGCCTTCCAGTGGTAGCACGTCCAGGGCAGACGCCTTCCAGTGGTAGCTCGTCCAGGGCAGAAGACCTTAAAAAAAATATATATGACGTAACACTCCCCTTACGAGTACATTCACAAAATTTTGTAGACTTCAGACAGTCAGATTGGTGTGCTAAAAATGCATGGCAAACGCCTTCAAGTGGTAGCCTGTCTAAGACAAAATTACGCTGAAGCCTTTCTTATTATAGATAAAGACATTAAATAAAACTCTACAACATAAGTATTACGGACAAAAACACAGATTTATGTATTATTCAAGAGTACTTAGCATTAATAATGATAAATAGGAGTTACAGATTATATAGGAACGAGTTCGCGGGCGAACTCGGTCTTGCAGACGGCAAATGCACTTCGTGCATTGGAGTCTATATTTACCTTTAATTGGAAAGGGGTTAGCTCTGAGTTCGCGGGCGAACTCGGTCTTGCAGACGGCAAATGCACTTCGTGCCTTGTAGGCTATATTTACCTTTAATTGGAAAGGGGTTAGTTCTTGTAAGTTCGGGTCGGCAATGTGGGGACGTCTCGGCTTCGCCTCGACACAATGCTCATTTGTTTTGTCCTTTTTTTTTTTTTTTAACAAAAGATTTAAAAAAAAATTGACATTGACAGCTGTCAAATTTTTTCAAAACTCACATGGGCGTATATATTTCACATCGGCGAACACGTAGGAAATACTAAAAAAATTTTATGGCCAATTTTGAAAGCTGTCAATGTCATAAATTTGACAAGCAGGTACAATATCGAAAAAAGAGTTCCGCCTCGCACATTATTTTTCCCAGACATTTCAACCTAAAAATATGACAAGCGCTGATAGCTGTCAAAAATTTCTGACGCCGATACGTGGCCAACGTTGAATAATCGTTTTGTGTCTAGTTTATAGCTGTGAAAAAAAATTCGCCTGGTTATTTGGAATCGCTCTAAATAAATCTGGTGTGGCACGGAGTCCTTTTTTTGAAATGGCCAATGTTGACAGCTGTCAATGTCAAAAATATGACAAGCAGGATTCCGCCACGCATAATATTTTTTCAAAACATTTCAAGTCGTGTAAAAGAAAAATTTGACATCTATGCTTGTCAAACCTCAATATTTCCCTTTTTATTTTTTTTCGGCCTGAAGATGTACCGTAGTGAGGCGGGTCAAATTTACTTTTTGACGTATTTTTTGCTCCTCTATCCGATAGAACTTTTCTTTTCTTGAAATTCGATATTTGAAATTTTTCGACAAAAAAATTCAAAGGGTAATAAGCCTTCGAATTTTTTTTTTCAATTTTCAAACCGTCCTAACTCGAAAACGAAACGCTTGAGAGAAAAACTTTAAATATAAAACTTATAGATCTTGTTGAGTACTACCAAAAAGCCTATAAGAAGTATCCCTCTACGGGGCACCGTTTTCGAGAAAATCGACCTCGAAAATTTGACCAAAATTACAAGATATTTCAACTTTGACGGCCAATATCTCAAAGACAAAAACAGCCTGGAGACTCAATAAAAAAATATATTGTAGGTAATTGCATCCTCTTTCGAATGAGATATGACTCGAAACGATCGGTTGAAAAATAGCGGAGCTATAAGCGAAAGACTGGTCTCGTGTCGGATACCCACAATTTTTTTCTGATCAAAACCGAAATTTTCTTTTTTATTTTTTTTCGGCCTTAAGATGCTGCGGCACAAGAACGGTCAAATTTACTTTTCGACGTATTTTTTGCTCCTCTATCCGATAAAATCTTTATTTTTTTGAAATTCAAAACAGGATTATACATAATATGTCAAAAAATACGTTCGGCGTCGCCAGGCGGTTAGTTTTTGACATATATCGATGAAACTTTTTCTTTTAGGGTTTTTGGAGCCTGGGGATCGTTTTCTGACGATTGTTTTTTGAAAAAAAGAAAAGATAAAATTTTTTGACATTGACAGTTGTTGAATTTTAAAAAAAATCACATGGGCGTATAGATTTAGCCTCGGCGAACACATAGGAAATACTGAAAAAATTCCATGGTCAACTTTGACAGCTGGCAAAGTCAAAAATTCGACAAGCAGGTTCAATATAAAAAAAAGGATTCCGCCACGCATAATATCTTTTCAAAACATATCAAGTCGCTTAAAAAAAAATTTGACACATATGACTGTCAAACCAAAAATTATGACAAGCGTTGACAGCTGTCGAAATTTTCCGACGCCAATCGGTGGCCAACGTTGAATAATCGTTACGCACCGAGTTTGGTGGTCCTGGCTTGTAAGGTAAAGCGTGGGGAAAGGCAAACGACCCTATTTTATTTTATTCCGGTCGCATGAAAGATGTAAAAAAAAATACGCCTGGTGATTTGGAAGCACTTTAAAGAAATCTAAAGTGGGACGGATTCCATTTTTTGGAAACACCAATTTTGACAGTTGTCAACGTCAAAGATATGACAAGCAGGTTCAATATCAAAAAAAGGATTCCACCACGCATAATATTTTTTCGAAACATTTCAAGTCGTGTAAAAAAAAAATTGACACGTTGACTGTCAAACCTAAAACTATGACAAGCGTTGACAGCTGTCGGAAATTTCCGACGCCGATCGGTGGCCAACGTTGAATAATCGTTACGCACCGAGTTTGGTGGTCCTGTCTTGTAAGGTAAAGCGAGGGTAAAGGCAAACGACCTTATTGCATCCAATACCGGTCATATGATAGCTGTTGAAAAAAATTCGCCTGGTGATTTGGAAGCACTTTAAAGACATCTAAAGAGGGACGGAGTCCTTTTTTTGAAATGGCCAATTTTGACAGCTGTCAACGTCCGAAAGTATGACAAGGAGAGTCAATATCAAAAAAAGAACTTCACCACGCTTATTATTTTCGAAAAATAAATCGATTTGGGAAAAAAAAAAATTTGACATCTGTCACAGTCGCGCGGCCGAGTAATAATTTTTTAAACCGTATGGCGAGGAAACCGGTGCATCCGTATAGATTTAGGCTCTGCGAACACGTAAAAAATACTGAAAAAAATCCATCTTCAATTTTGACAGCTGTCAACGTCAAAAAAGTGACAAGCAGGTAAGGTAGGATGACAGACGTCATCGGCAATTGAAAGCAATTTAAAAAATGACAGAGCGTATATCCGGTCGTTTCTTGGAAATTTGACATATGTCAAAAAATTACGTTTCGTGCTGTCACTCCGTCAGTTTTTGACGTATATCGACGGGAATTTTTATTTGGGGTTTTCGGGATCGGCGGAACGTTTTCCACTACTTTTCTTTTCGAGATTCGCAAAATAAAAAAAAAACTTTTTTGACGTTGACAGCTGTCAAATTTTTTCGACACAAACCGATAGTTGGCGACCCAAAGCCGCCTTCTACCGGGGTTTGGGTGTCGTGGCTTTTATAGTCGAGCGGGGAAAAAGTCGGACATGTGTCAAATTTGACAGGTGACATCTGTGGTTAAGGCCAAAGTGCTTCACGACCAAAGTTCTATCCGAACGCATCTTCGAAATTTGACGTATGTCAAAGATGACGTTTCTCCTTGTCACGCCGTCAGTTTTTGACGTATGTCAATGTCGAATTTTTTTAAGGGGTTTCCGTGTCCGGGGAAACTTTTCCGACACTCGGATTTTCAATTTTCCGAGAAATGCAAAAATAACTTTTTTGACGTTGACAGCTGTCAAAAAATTTTGACACCGACAGGGCGGCCACGTTGAATAAACATACTCCACCGAGTTTGAGGTTTCCACCTTGTAAGGTAAAGCGTGGGGAAAGGCCGTTTACCCTATTGAACACACACCGGTCGCATGACAGCTGTCATCAAAATTTCGCCTGGTGTTTGCGAAACGCCTTAAAGAAATCTCGTGCTTTGCGGAGCCCTTTTTTTGAAATTCCTTCCGCCTGTCAAAAATTTGACATTGACAGGTGGCCAAGTTGGCCATGGAATTTTTTTAGTGATTTTTCCGAATTCGCCTCGATGTTTTCTATCCGCCTATATAAGTTTTATCCGCCGTTTTCGAAGGAATCGATTACTCGATGGCACGGTTTATACTTAGAATGACTAGGAACACGGTAGAGTAATGACTCTCCCAGACCTAACTTCACTAGAGAGTCATTACGGGGGGAAGTCGATAATTTGTTAGAAAATTCGTGAAAAATTAATGATGCTTTGTAGGGATTTTTTGAAGTTTGAGGATGATAGAGTTGACCCCTAAGCACAGTCAAGAATAGTTTTTGCAGTCAAGTTAGGTCTGGGAGAGTCACTACAGATGCAAGTCGATAATTTGTTGGAAAATTCGTGAAAAATTAATGATGCTTTGTAGAGATTTTTGAACACAAACACAGTCCAGAATAGTTTTTGCGGTCAAGTTAGGTCTTGGAGGATCACTACGGGGGGAAGTCGATAGTTTGTTTGAAAATTCGGGAAAAATTAATGATGCTTTGTAGGAATTCTTTGAAGTTTGAGGATGATAGAGTTGACCATAAGCACAGTCAAGAATAGTTTTTGCAGTCAAATGGTCTAGTCAAGTTGATTCTGGGAGAGTCGCTACGGCGGGATGTCGATAATTTTTTTGTAAATTCTCAGAAAATTAAATATAATAGACCTATCTCGCATGATTAGGAAAAGAGAGCTTAATAATTGTAATAAATACAAATTAGAAAGTAACAAAAGAAGACATGCGCGCGCAACTGTCGGCTGCAGTGTAGCCAGACTCTATTGTTGCAGAACAAATCTAGACAATACAAATTGAACATTATAACATTAAAGAAGTGATATAGTTTCAAGTGTTTTACAACGCCTTAAATCAGACAA